CATAAATTTATTATTTGTAACTAGTATTTTACAATTAACTAATAGTTATTTTATTGTAACAATTTTAGCAGTCACAAATTTAAATAGTTTATTGTGACAAATTTTTTGTAACCGAATATAATTTATGTGTCAAAATTGTATATTATAATTTTAAAAATTAATATTAGTGATTATTACTTTAAATTAGTCACTAATATAACAAATATTAGTGACCAATTGCAAATTAGTCACCATTTTCAGTCACAGAAAACCCATCTTCTTTACCTATTTTCTATATGTCTCTTTTTTTGATGCCTAGATGTGTGGTTTCTGAATTGATTAGCATCCAGAGGGGTTTTTTGTGGGGTGGGGCAGAATTGAAGAGGAAGATATCATGGGTTAACTGGGAGTCGGTTTGTTGTAGTAGAATGACGGGTGGTTTAGGAGTGCCAGATCTTCGTAGGAGAAATTGGGCATTACTTGGGAAATGGTGGGCTAGATTGGGTGATGGGTTGGAGAGTTTATGGAAATAGGTGGTTAGGGAGAAATATTATGGAGGTAGGAGGGAGGTGGATATTACTGGAATAGAAAATGGGCGGGTATCTAAGATTTGGAGTGATGTTGTTAAAATAGGAGGGATGTCTGCGAGTTTAAGGAATTTGTTGGTAAAGGGGTTTAGATGGGAGTTAGGAGATGGCAAACGGGTGGGGTTTTGGAGGGAGATTTGGGTTGGGGATAAATCGTTGAGGGATTTATGTCCTCGATTATATGAGTTGGCTGTTAAGAAGGAGGGGTTGGTTAGTGAGATAGGTGAATGGGAGGAAGATCGGTGGCAGTGGAACATGGAGTGGAGACGGGAAAGGAAGGGTAGAGTGAGGGATGAAGAAGAGGTTTTAAGGGAGCTAATGGGGCGGTTCCAATTGAAGAAAGGCAAGGAGGATCACTGGTGGTGGATTCATGGGCCGGATGGGCAGTATGAGGTGAAAGTAGCTTATGAGGCATTGGCACCTGTAAAGTGCATTCTTGAGGACCAGTTTTGCAAGATGATCTGGTGTCGATTAGTCCCTTCCAAAGTTGGTTTTTTTGTTTGGAGATTATGTCTTGATAGACTCCCCACAAAGGTGAATTTGCGAAAAAGAGGGGTGGTTTTGCCGGAAGAGAGTTTAATGTGTGGATTGTGTGATGGTGTGTTAGAGGAGGTTAACCATCTCTTTTGTACATGTAAAGAGGCTTGGTTGGTTTGGGTGAAGGTGCTGCAATGGTGGGGTATGGAGGCTGTGATTCCAAACACAATGGGTGGAGTAGCTGAGTTTTTTCTGCACGGTTTGGGTAGTATAGTAGGAAAGGAAATGGGTGCATGTGTTTATCTTGCTGTTACTTGGTAT